TACACCTATCTGTCTATCAACAGTACATACGTATCAATATACTATAATTTGGTTTTCAGTAATATTTATGTTTGCCTATTTATTCCCCTGTCTTTGTATTTTTTATATAAAGTCAATACGATATTGAATATATATATACATTTCTCCAACTTTCCTGTTGTAGCGTTATGTAGAAGGATTATCTAAATTCTACTGTAATGTAAAAATTTAAATTGCACTATAGAGTGGGAATCTAAGTTGCAGGACTTACTGTGAATTGGCAGTACTACAGTACCTACTGTATACAACTTCCTATACATATACTGTATAATAAACCTACACATACACTACAGCATTTCTAGTACCTACATATACTGTAGCTAGATACTACCTAGAGTACTATTAGTAGCGGCCAGGTCAGGAACGGGCAAACTAGGGCTCGGGGGCCATATGCGGCCCATTCAGCTTTTTAATCCGGCCCACCAAACTTTTACAAATAAAATATAATTCTGCCTTTACCCTGCAATACTCAGGTTTCCCCAATAGATGGTGTAGAAAATGATTAAAGCATCTTAGCATTTTAGCCTTTATGCATGACTTTTACATGTCATTTATCTTCCTGACCCGGCTCCCCTGTTCAATTTTAGTACGATTGTGGCCCGCAAGTCAAAAGGTGTGCCCATGTCTGGGCCAGATACTAACAGCAAATCGCCTACATCGCCCACATACTGTCAGGTAAAGTCCATTTTATTGATTAAGGCCCAAAGTCACAAGACACATTTGTAGTGATAAACTGAACTGTGACATAAGAATTGAACTTAAACTGAAAATATTCTCTGCAAAGCCAATTAAAGGAGGGGTTTTAAGCACAGGTTTTAACACAGTATCTATAGACCACCATAAGGGATGGAATCAGATTATTCATATTTGACCAACACTTGGAAAATGAATGTCTTGCAGCCACAGAAGTTCAAAGAAGATTGTTAAATAGGAGACACCAGAGAGAGTGAGAGAGAGGGTCACCTACCATACACTCAACTCTTCAACACTTTCCGTCCTACATACAGCTCACCTACCTCCTCTGGACAGGGTAAATCTGACCTGCTGCTGGTACTAGAATAAGTCAAATGACCATCAAAACTGTTGAAGTTATAAAATGCTAAAACAAAACAGATGTACCAATAAAGTCTGTCAAACAGTCCTTGACAAATGCAAGAAAAGATAATGTGTTTTATATTTAAACTTTAGTGCATACCTTCTTTCAGCCCCTGAGGAATTCTGATTTATTACCAAAATACTCTGAACGCCTTGCTGTTCTTTCCTGTTTTTTTTCTTCAGAAAAGTACTATATATACACAGCTGTGCGTGCACACACACACACATACACTCACGTGTGTACGCGCATACACTGTGACTGTGTGTTTTCTGCTCCAACATTTTCTAAAGAAAGAGAGATGATTCATGAAGCAGCTAATCCTTAAAAAGGGTTGTAAACAATAAAACGTTTTGGGTTTTTTTTCAAGACGTTTGGAAATTCTCCCACCTGTTGCAACGTTCTCACCAAACTACCACTCTATAACTCTGCCACTCCAACACTGTTACACCCAGTGCAGTCTAAAAGTATTTCATACTCCTTGTAGTCCTGAACTGATTCTTTTAAAGTAAAAATGCTTTTCACTTCAGTGAGATATGCTAGGACAGAGCTTTCAATGCACATTCTCTTGACGTTCTGGAGAACTTACCAAATTATATTTCATATTCCAATAGTGAATATTTTAGGCAGCAACGCACACTACAATTTTAGTATTGTTTATTTGTCAGTAAATTGACTCTTAGCTTTTACTAGCCATCCATCCATTTTCTTCCGCTTATCCGTTACTGAGTCGCGTTGGCACCAGTCGCTATCACCGCCACCCAAAACACACTGCACCGTACCAACCCCTCGTGAACCTGCATGAGGGTGGTGAGTCCACTAGAGGGCACCAACTGTCCTAACCGGGATTTGATCTTGCCCAGGAGCTGAACCCTGGGGTTCCACATCAATGACAGAGACACAAAATGCCACAGCTTTTACTTTTACTAAAAAATTCAAAATGAAAGTCCTGTGTCTTCTGGATGTGCCTAGCAAGACTCCAAAACAGCTTAAAACCAGAGTCTTGCAGAATTCTTGATAAAAAACATCTAAACCAATGTTTCCCAACCTCTTTTGAGCTCCAGCACACAATTTACATCAGAAATATCCAACATCAGACCCCACCCAAACAAAAATATCACCATGACTTTCACATTTCACAATTTACTTTTTAGTTGAATACAACCCTGAAATACTCGCAGGAATTGATGAAAGACAGACACAAAGATCTTCGTTAACAGCTCTGAGTCTCTCTCTTTTTTAAGTTTTGAATAGTCATCTGTGGCAATTTTGTGGAAGAGTATTTTACTGTTCTGCCTGTCTCAAGGTGAATGAAAAAAATGACTCGCATTAAAAAAAACAAAACAAAAAAACAAATCTCGCATTAAAAAAAACAAACAAAAAAAAAACAACAAAAAACATTAGTTTTAGACCCATTACTGTATGTGGAATTGGACAGATTTCCATACACTTGTGTGCCACAACATGGAGTTTGGGAATCAGAGTTTTAGAAATTCCGTGTCAAAGAACCAACAGATTTACACCAACAGGAACTTTTATGGTCATGAGAGCAAAAAGAGGTGCATGAAAAAGAATTTCTCAGAAGATTGTTTACAAAATCCGTGTGTTCTAAAGATAAAGTTAGCTTCAGGGCCCCCGGTGAGGTCTGTCGTCCCTCTGAGGTTTGCCTTAATTTAATTTTCTCCACAGGAATTTTACAGCGTTAACCATGCAGAGCAGAACACCGCCGCACATGAACTGTTGACTCTGAACGGCCTGTTTGTTTTAAAATTCCTCCTTTAAGAGCTTGTTTATTGATTCTAGGCTGATCTTGGTCAACAACTGTCAGAACTTCTTTTGAGAACACGATAGGCAAGGCCAATTAGAAGTTTATGTCAACAAAGAGCGTGGACAGTCCAGGGAGGAGTGATGAAAAACAACAGCACCAGCACTGACACATTGTTGTTAAGGGCATTTAGGGAATTCAGTAATGTGTGATGTAAGAGTGTCAACACTACAATAATTGGAAATGACTGGTGTTAATGTCATGACAAATAACAGGAATAATAACACAGTTATGAAATCACCTCATCACTTATGGAGCTAATACAAAACAACAAATGATGTCATGACTCTGACATCAGCACATGGGATGTTTTCCAGTAGTTCTGCTGCCAGATGTTTTTTTTCAACATCACTCATATCAGTACTCAGATTTTGTTTTTCACTTTATAAAGCTGTTTTTTTCTTCTTCTATACTTTACGATGTCCCCGACCTACGGAACTTCCTGGATAGCTTGCCACCTCGCAAAAATGTATTGAGTAAGTCTTGCTCCATTTACAAACGTACAGTGCTAAAACACATCTTCTTAGTTATCTAAACTACCCACTGACCTTCAGGGTTCACTACCAAACATCATCAGCACCCATCTCACACTATCTCCTACTTCCTAAAGTTAAAGTCTCAATAAACATCTCCAGGTACACCTTCTCTATGTCAATGAATTACTCAGTGCTGAAGCTCCATCTTCAGCATCAACATAATACGGGTGTATACGGGGTGTCAAACTTATGGCCCGTAGGCCAAAAACTGGTCCGCTAGTGTGTTCAATCTGGCCTGCTTGATGAATTTTGAAAATAATAATTAAAAAAAAACTTCGTGTTCAGGATTTTTTTTTAATTAAATATGAATAAATAATAATAAATATCTAATATACTTGTACCTCTTTGCATGAAAACAAGGGGAAAACATGGACTTGTTGTTATTTATAGTTAATTGTGTTATTATTGTACTGGTCCGGCCGACTTGACATCTAATGATGAGTTTGACACGCCTGCTCTAATACTTCCTGTTTATCCTAATGACTTGGAATAAAACCTTTAAATCCATCATTAAATGTAATCTTTCCAGCTGCGTGGTCATGTAGGTCCAAAGAAATGACCATAAATAGTCGAGATAAAGTCTGACATTCTAAGACAACCACTGGGATACAGTTCGGTTCCCACACTCTTGCTGTGGGGTCAGTTTCTGCAGCATGACGTGGTGAAGAAGGCTGAACATTCCCACGATGCTCAGCTCGTGGAAACGAGCCACTGGGATTAAAGTGAAACGACACAACATACAGTATGTACATCCACTTACAGTAGGAGAGATGCATATACGAAGTCTTCACATTACCACAGTCCTTATATCCATTGTACGTCTTTGTTTAACTAACATTATCATATGCAAAAAGGACAAATAGACCTTAATAAAATTGAAATGGGAAAGAATTTGAGAGGAAAATTAGAGAGGGAGAAAAAAAGGTAAAAGAAAGGGAAGAGAGAGACAGAGGAGAAAGAGAGATCTTGTCTAGCCCCGCTTTAAATCACCTCACTGTGTTTTCATCGTAGTCATTGTGCAGCAGAGCTGAGGCCATCGTGTCAACAACAACAACAACAACAACACTGCTGTATAATAATAGATGTGACCTCAGCTCACAGATGCCATTATTCTTCACACCAACCTTAAATGCACACACACACAAACAAGTGTGACCTTTGACCCGCATTTACAGTAGAACCCTGGTAAAGCTTGAATTGTGTGATAACTCTTTTCTTCTCTTTTCTCTATTGAGAATGTTGTTGGTGGGACGGTGTTCTTTGGGCTCTCTCCCTCTCCTGTCTCTTGTACTTTTGTACTTGTACTGCATTAAAATGTAACTTTTTGACAAGGTAATAATAATATAATAATAATAATAATAATAATGAACTTAATTGCTGGTGTTGACTTGTACGAAGAGCAGGGAATTATGGGTAATTGGACCAACCACTAGGACAGATAAATTATTCTATTTGCAAAGTTGTATAAACACACAAGTATTACTTTCTGTATGTCACATCCACATACCTTGGTCAGTCTGATCCTGCCGCTCTCACTCCTCTCCAGACTCCTCCTCTTCACAGATGATGTTCTGACCACCGACACCGGCTGCACCTCTTCCTCCCCGCACCAGTCTGAGCTCAGGACACAACCCATAAAGATGGACAAAATCCCAGACCTGGGATGGATGTGTCCTGCTTCTTCTTCTTCTGCTTCCAACTCTCTTTCTGCTCTTCTTCTGTCCGTCCACCTCCTCCTCCACCACCTCCTCCACCTCTAAGCCTTCTTCTCGATCCCACGTCCTGTGGTCCTGTGAAAGGGTTCCAACCTCAGCTTCTGACCAGCTGTTTTTGTCAGCTGGAGTAGGAGAAGGAGGAGAAAAAAATGGGGAGAAGGAGGCCCTTCCCTTTTTCTGGCTCTGATTCAAACTACGCTGCTGGGACAGACGAGAGGACACACTCTGACTCCCGTCTTTTTCTTTCTAAAGCACTTGAAAAACTCCTCACTCTGCCCCTGACTTTGACTCGGTCCAGATGTGGACACAAGTGGATTCCATCGCCCTCTTCCTCTCCCTACGTCTTTTTTTCGCACAACTCCCAGATTCTCAGAGGAACCCCAATTTGTTGAACTCACATGACAGTGACCCTTCTGTGTCCAAGATCAGGGCTCCTATCTCCATCTCCTAACTTGCTGCACCTCCTTTTTCAAATCCATGTGAGCAGCCCTTTCCTCTCCCTTGGTCCTTCTACCTTCTCTTCTCTTCCCCCGTCTCCTGCAGTCAGGGTTTGCCTTATTCTTATACTTACAATTCCCTCTCTGTTTTGCACACCCACACCCACCCGTCATACCCACCCTCTCTGCAGCTCCTTGGCTCCCCCCTCGGTTTCCTGCTCCTGATTCAGACGTGAGTTCGCCCTGACCAATGCTCACCATCTTTAGAGGTATTTTCTGAAGAGAAAAAAAAACAAAAACAAAACACAATGTGAAAACAGTTAACGGTGACAACACATACACAGAGCATGCACAAACACACACACAGTCTGGTTTTCATGAGTTGTGAGGACTTCACATACACAGACATAATGCAGTCCTTAACTCTTTACCCTAACCTTAACCATTACAAAGACATCCCAATGTTAATCAACCACTAACTTGTTTTCTAAGGTAACTCCATGTTAAATTTTTAAAAACCCTCCTTCCTAGTGGAGACATTAAAATGTCTTCACAAGGACAAAAGGTCCCCACAACAAAGCATTTGCTCACAAATTGTCCCCACTAGGATAGTTTTACCTGGACTACACACACAGAGATACACACTCACTCATGTGAGTGACTCACAGTGGACCCAGTTCTGGTCTCAGGACTCAGAGCCAGACTTTTCTTGTTCACACTTTAATGAGCCTGTTTGTTTAGTTTGCAGTAGTGAGACAAAGTCTTTCTCTCACTGAATCCATACCTAACATAAACATACTAACTCTGATGAGAACTCGGTTTTTGTCAAGACTCTGAAGACCGGAAAGTACTGCACTGAGGGTTGAATCATTTTTGTCATGTTTTTTAAACAGGGTTGAATCATTTTTGTCATGTTTTTGGCTAACACGCCCATGTCTGTTGTCATTTTAAAGGCTATTTTTTAATGTCAAGAAACTCACATTAGGTAACTTAATCATGCTAAATAATTTTCTATTAGGTCTAGTGATGGGATTGGATGGGCTTTCTGCAAAAACTTGTGTGTTTGTATTTGGGGTTTCTCCAGGTAATAAATCTGCAAAGTAAACATTAAGGTCAAATTCTTACTTCTAATATGTGGTAAGCGTTATCTGATGTTGCCATATATTTGACCATGTTTTAGCTACTTTAGCTCACATATTATTCATTAAATAACAAGCAGGTATTTAAGCCTTTATTTGGCTATCGCTAGGCTAACTTCTACTAATGTTGTTAGCACCTTCGGTTGCATTTGTTTTTGCTAAATCTCTTTTGCTATGTTCAATCTGTCTGTTTGTCATTGCACCAGTGGCTGAACTGACTGAGAATGCGACAGAGAATTGTGGAAAATCTGTTTTTTTTCTTTCTTCCCTTCCTTCTCTCTAGTTTATTTTTTTTTTTTTTCTTCCCTTCCTTCTCTCTAGTTTATTTTCTTCTTCTACTTCAGCGACAGACCCGTAGCTCCACAGCCTCAGGAGAACCAGACTGTACCCCTTAAAAGGCAAATTCTTGATGTTCCTCCAAAATGCACCCCCACCCTTTCTGCTTTCATTTAACTCCCTCTTACTCCCTAAGAACTCCCCCTTCTCTCTATTATTTCTTCCCCTTTATTTTTTCTGCTGATTTGTTTTTGCTCCCAGTCAGAATTCACCGCCGGGCCAATGTTGTTGTTTTGGTTGCCTTAAACGTGCCTCTCAGGTGTCCATCCTTCTTTTTCTTCCTGTCTTTCCCTTTTTTTCTTCCACTCTACTTCTCACCCATTCATCCCTTCATCATTCTGCCACCCCGGGCCCCGACCTCCTACCTCACCACATCCCCCTGCTTCTAGCCTGTTTTTTTTCCTCTTCTCAGACATTTAGACATGAGCTCAGGCTGCAGATGGTGTTTACAGCAACCAACCCCCTCCTGCGTTTACACACTGTTAAAATAACTGCTGCTAATCATTTTAAACCCTCGTTATTATTTTACCATCCACAAAACAGGACAGACCAAGTCAACGCAACGCATGTTCACCAGTACATTTTCTTAAAAACAGTCGAATGGAAATACGCCAAAGCATTAGCTAAAACTACAGCTTAAACAGCTAAAGATCTATATACAGCCATCCATTAAGGTTATTTACAAGCCGACTTCATAGATACGGTTTATGTTTCACTTTGAGATAAGTTGTGGCTACGTTCTTGTTCTAATGACTGTCTGTAAATCACACATATGTCCAGCTTAGCTAAATATTAGCCATTTATAAGCAACTTCGAAATTATTTTCTCAAATAATTTCAAACTTTTAAAATAAATATTAAATTTTATGCATTTACTATTTTCATTTTATTTATTTATTTTTGGAATTTTGGATTGAGCTGTATTTGTCTAATGTTTTGGTGATTTTTGTGATAAAGATTTTTTAAATCTATTTCTGTTTAACTTAAAGCTATTGCATAGCATATAAACAGGCCTGTTGCCAATATGTGACAGGTTTCCCTCATTTCCATGTCTGTGATCGATGTCAGATTTGACACATCAGCTCAGGGGAAACACAAAAGAACACAAAAACACAAAAGAAGTTAAGCTTGACAGACACTGAGCCGTGTCATCAAAGAAAAATGAGAGGAAATAAAATTTCAAAACTGATGCCAGAAAGGAAAAGGTGTTCGATCCAAAGCCTGACCTTTTGGATGGTCAGGCTCAGGGACAATAGCATCCAGGGGGG